AATGGTAATTGCTAATGAGGAGGAAAGAAAGAAAGATGTTAATATTTTACAAGAAGATATTGAAGAAATGACAAAATCCACTTTTATCACACACAAAATTTGTCTTACATCACCACAAAAAATAATCGTCCCTGGTCCGAATCTGAATATTATTCTAATATACGTACTCTCAAAGTTAGGAACTTGTTAATAAGCTATTGACATTGAGCGAGAACTTTTGAAAGCAGAAGAAACAAATCGGAAATATTGTGTAAGTTTCGGAAATAAAAAAAAAAATATTTATAAATTTACCCTTAAATGATTTGGTGATATATAAAAAGGAATAACAGTATATAATTTAGGTATTAAAAAAAATTGAAACTCAAAGATAAAATGATATAAGAAGCAAAGAGTTCTTTTTTTTTTTAATATAATTTTCTTTTGAAACTGCTCAACTAATAAAAAATCACTTTTACATTTCTTCTATTCTTAGATTTCGCAATCAGTTATGATAAAATTGTTTCGCCTTGAGAAGGGAAATGTATAATTTCTTTGATTGGATGATGAATCCTTGGTTGAAGAAATTCAATTTCTGAGTTGGCAGAAAAAAAAATATATTATGCTCAGAAAGAACTTTAACTTACGTCACATAAAAACAGTAAGAATATCGATAATAGAAATATTACAATGAATAAATGCTTATTGATAATCTATTCCAAATCAATTTGATCTACGAAGGTTTTCCAAAATTTAGTTTCGTAGCGTTTAGTTTCGGAGAAAATGTTTTCTTTTTACTTGAGCTCCAAAATCTCAGACACGTGAATTTGTGTGACATTGGTGACATATACAAGCAATGTGATAGATATATTATATTCCTGGTCGATTTGTGTAACAAAATTAAAAGCAAATGACTTTCTAAAATTCATTTCCTAGAAATCGGAAATCAGGAACATAACTTCCGTAATCAAAGCATAAAAAAGGGTAGATAATTTCTTTTTTTTTTTAAAAAAAAAAAAATTTTTTTGATTTTTACAAAACAAAAGTATAATAATTAACTAAATTAAAGCATGGGAAAAGCTGATAAGATATTGGAAGAAACAGCAAATTCAACAAGCGAGACTATTCAAGTCATACAAGAACTCAATACCGATATAAACCTAGGAGGGGCCCCGTCATGTCCGAGCTCTGTAGGAGACCATTTCAAATTAGCTTTAGGAACCGTAGGCACCTTAGGAGAGGCTGTCGGGCCCTTTCTTCCTTTGATAGCGGCAGTTACTACACTTACAGCTCAAATTGTGAAAGCTTATGAAAATGCTCAGTATAATAAGAAATCATGCGCAGCTTTGATCCAAAGGGTACAAGCCGCCGAAGTAGCCGTTCAAGCATTAAATCGTCGTAAACAGGAAAATGAGAAAAATTTTCGTAATCAAAATTATTATTTCCATTTTGAAAGATTTGTCGCTACTTTGAGAGATATTAAGGGTTATATTCAAGATGTAACCATTTTATCAGGTTACAGAAAATTTATTTCAAGTGGTGCTATTAAAGAAAGGTTTCAACAATTGGTTAATGAATTTGACAAAATCGTTGGTGATTTACAATTGGCAATGGTAATTGCTAATGAGGAGGAAAGAAAGAAAGATGTTAATATTTTACAAGAAGATATTGAAGAAATGACAAAATTCTTGCAAAAAATTGAAGGTGGTGTGACAACTATAGATAAAAAAATTAGTAATGTTCTCGAGCATATCTTAACTTTAAAAGGAAAGTCATTCGAAAAAGATTTTAATCCTACTATCAAACACATTCAACCAAATGAATTAATAGATCCACCTAATAATCCAACATCTTCTACACGTAATAAGCAGGTCAAGATACAAAAAAAACGTTATAGGGGTCTAGATGTGGCATGTAAAGTAATCGTCTTTCCTACCGAAGAAAATAATAAATCCGATTCAAGTAAATTGGAAACAAATAGAATTCACGCGGAATTAGCAATCTTAAGTAATTTAGGAAAATGTGATTATATTATTAACTTTTATGGATTAAGTCAAATGAATGGAAATACTTTGGGTGTATTTGGATGGGCTGAGAAAGGAAATTTGAGAAAACTTTATGAGAGATATGATATTGATTGGCCTCGAAAATTAAAAATTGCTCTGAATATTTGTCGTGGAATTACTTTTCTCCATGGTTGGTAAGTACAAAGGATTTTTGAATCAATAGATAACATAATTATTACTTCTACTCATTGAATTTGTTGTTTCATAGTCAAATTTTGCATCATGACATTCGGTAGGCCTTTACTTCACGATAAAAGCTATATTTGAGAATTTGAAATTTTATTCGACATTGCTAATTCAAATTTATTCCTTTACATTAGGTGTGAAAACATATTAATGACCGAAACTTCAGAACCGAAAATTTCGAATTTTAAATATAGTCGTGCTTTACAAGATGACACTACTAATATTGGAAATATTACACAAATCGTCCGTTGGCTAGCTCCCGAGAAAATGAATTCAAAGAAATTGAATCAGCACATTAGTGCAGCCAGCAATCCACAATCACAACCATCTAAGAAAGATGATGCTAAAAAAGATAAAAACAAAGATGATGATTATGTTCCTTATACCATTCAATGTGAAATATTTAGGTAAACATTATATTTCTTGAAAATGATTTACTTAATAAAGTTAATGGAAATGTTTCTTTTCTTAGTTTTGGAATGTTACTTTGGGAATTGGCTTTTCAGAAATTTCCATATAAAGATTGGGAGATTTCTCGAATTCAGGAACATGTATTAAAAGGCGAAAGAGAAATGTTACATTTTCCTTTAAGTCAATATGGTCAAATTGAAAAGAAATTTGGCAACATTATCAAAGCTGGTATGATAGTATTTTTCTTTTTTTATAATAAATAATAATAATAACAATGTTAATTAATTAGGTTTTAAAATTTACATTTTTAGCTTGGCAGCAAGATCCTTCTCTTCGTCCCGAATTAAATTATTTATTTAACGATCTCGAACAGTTAAGTGCTCCTTTGCCTATACTTTCACCAGGATTAATCGCCAAAAAAACTAGTGAAGAAGACATAAAACCTATTGAAACAAAGCATCGAGAATCATCATCTTATGAAAGTTTTGATTTGCCAAGTACACCAGATTTCGATTTAGATCAAATTGTTATGCCGATGATGAAACTTGAAGATGGAATAACAGCTCATAAAAATGGAGATAAGAAAAAAGCCTATGAATGCTTTAAAAATCATTCTGAAATAGGTAACAAAGTAGCAAAATATTGGTTAGGCTATTATTATTGGGAAGGCTATGTCGTTAAGAAGTCGCCGGGAAAAGGAGCTGAATTATTCAAAGAAGCCGCTGATAAAGGGGTTCCTGATGCTCAGTTAAGATATGCGTTTGCTTTATCGGATAAAAACAGTCCACTTACGTTTAATTTAGTTGAATTTGTAAAATATTTATCCATGGCTGCTGATAATGGAAATACTGCTGCTCAATTTAACTTGGGTGATTTATTTTATAATGGTAAATTAGGTGTACCAAAAGAACCACAAAAAGGTTTGAGTTATTTAAAATTGGCTGCTATTAAAGGTCAGCCAAAAGCTCGTGCTATGCTAGATAAATTAGATATTAATTATTATGTTCAAGATGATGAATCTGATTATAAATCGTAAGTTTTAAAAAAAATATTTAAATTTTTTATTTCTATGGTAGATAGATTAGGTATTATTTATTATGTTACGAGTTTTTTTTTTTAAAAAAAAAAAATATTTGTTATTTTTTATTATAAGAGTGTTCGTGATTCGTGATATTTATCGCAAATACCCTACTGTACTTTTTTTACAATATACAATATCTTTAATATAAATATAAAAATAAATAAAAATAAATTTAATCATAAATATTGATCTTAAGTTCCTTAATCAAATCCCATGCTTCCAAGTGATTCTCGAGCGCGGCTAACCTTAGATATTTAATACCTTCTTCTAAATTTTTTTCAATTCCAAAATTACCATGAATATAAAATTCAGCTAAATGAAATTGTGCGTTGATATGTTTACGATCAGCAGCTTTCCTTAAATATCTTTCATAATCCTGCCTATTAAAATTGTTTCCATGATGATGTAAAATACACATTGCATATTGAAATGAAGCTTCGGTAACATCTTCATCAGCTGCTTCTTTATATAACTTAATCGCTTCATCTACATCTTTTGATACATTTATTTCATTATAAAGATAATGAGCCTTCCAATATTTTGCTTTCGGGTTATCAATTTCGGATTGATTTTTAAAACATTCCCATGCAATTTCATATTTCTTTTCATTATGTGCTTTTATTCCTTCTTCAAGGGAAATAAGGGGACGAAAAGTTTTACATATAGGATCCTCCTCTTCTTCATCAGAATCAAACCAATCACTATCAATAAACGCAAATGTAGGATTGTTTGTTTCGTCCTGTAACATGATAAAATGAAAAGATTAATATTTTTGATTTTTAATTTTGAATATTTTAAACAGAACCTTTATACGAGGTAATAAAATCATTTTTTGTCGATCATTTATATGAAAAACAAAAAAAAAAGATCCGTCTAATTTATATTCTTATCTAACAACCATATTATAGATAATAGGAATATACTCTGATTGTTTAAGAATTTATATTAATTATTTTTTTAACGTCATTATTTCAAACTTCAACTTGCTAAAACTGCAGCCAATACGAACTTATACAGGGGTGGTTTCTTTTTAATTTTTGGGCAGCGTTAACTTTAACGTTAAAATTAAAGCATAAACTTTGGGTAAAAAAAAAAATTAAATGTTTTTAAATATAGTATGTCTATATAAAAGTAATTCTTAGATTTGAGAAAAAAAAACCCTCATTTTCTTAATTATTCACTTGTATTATTAACATTAATAATAATAAATATAAAATAATGATAATTAATAAATTAATAAAAATAATAACCGAAACTTTGATCATATTAATTGTAGTCTAACGAAATTTTAATATTGAGAATTAAATATATCAGTGTTTTTTTTAAAGTATTAATAAATCATTGCTTTAAGTGTTGCTTTCTAATTCATTACTTTTAAAAAAATTGATAAAAGACATAAAACAAAAATTGTGATAATTCAAAGAAATTAATTCTACATTATACTGAATGCCTAATCAATTGATACTTTAAAAATGCCAAATTGGATCCAAATAATAACTATAATATGATATCATTTATTACTTAATGAAAACATTTAAAAAACTTAATGATAAATTATAATTGATACATTTATTAAAAATATTAACTAAAATTTTCTTTAATAAAGTAATACATTGGTTAAAATATTTTATTTATTTATGCATTTTTTTTTTCAAAAAATTTTTTCAAATAATATATTGTCAAATTTAATACAAAGTATTTTTATACAATCAATTAAATATAAAAATCTAAAAATATGAAAAATAAATACAAATAATGCATATGATAGCATAATTAAAGAATGCAAAACAATTCTAACAATAAAATTTTTTAAAGAGAAATGAAATTTTTATATTATAAATCCAATTTAGCTGATAGAAATCTTATACAAGATAAGGATTTAGATTTCTTATCATTTTGTATCTTTTTATATTGAAAATTAACAGAACTTGTGATACTAAAAATTTGATGAGCTATTATTCGATTTTGAGAATTTTTTTTATATATATAGTTAAACCTACTAGATATTTAATAGGGATCAAGAGTCAAATATTATTATCTTGCTTTGTAGATAGTCTAGCCAGATATATAAAACATTAAATATCGATATTATTATATATATTAGATGCTTAGTGAAAATTTGATCAATTTCATTTAAAATTTTTAGTCTTACGCACTAATCAAAATAGTTTAAATCAACTAGAAATTAGATGACTAATTTTAAACTGATTTTAATACTATTTACAACTGATTTACTATATTTTCTAATCAGTATAAACACGAGCTGATAAATGCTGATTGATTCTAATAAGATATAGCTATTTAACATCAATTCAAAACTTAAAATTAGCCTAAAATTAGTCTCAATTTAGCATTAATTCATATCACGTACTGGAACAGGAATATACTTATCAATTACATCTAGTAAATATTTTATATTTTATTTACTAAATTTGAGTTTTTTTCTTCAAAAGTAAGCAGAACTATGATTGATACTAATTAACTCTAATTGGATAAGCAATTTAACTATAAATCAGCCTAAAATTGACTTCAATCCAGTATTAGTTTATTTATTAAATTTATCAAATATTAAATTTTATTAATAATAAAAATCTAATATAAATTTGCAAAAATATAACAAAAAATATCACTAAAACCTACTGATTAATTTTCTATTAAAATAGAATAATAAAATAATAAAATATGATCTATTTTTTTCTAAAACTTCTTAAAATCATCTTAAATATAGATAAATAAATAATATATGATAAAAATATCTAAAAAATATAAAAATAATAAATATAAAAATATAAAATATAGAAAAATTAACCTAAAATCATCTAAAAACATAAAGATAATTAATAAAATCAATTTATTTTCACTTTGAATCATTTAAAAAAATTGTAAAAATAATTGACTCATTTTCATCCTGAATCGTTCAAAAAAAATGTAAAGATATGTAATAAAATTAACTCATTCCTATTTTGAATCGTTTAAAAAAAATGTAAAATAATTAATAAAATTAATACTTTCTCATCTTGAATTATCTAAAATTTATCATTTAGCATTGTCTATTATAAGATCATTTTCACTTTTTTTAACAGTGGATGAAATACCTTTTTTGACTTCAGTATATTCTTCAGTTTTAATTACATATAAAGCTCTGAACAGGTCAGTTCAGGTTGGGTCAATCAAATTACCTGAACTGAAAGGACCAGGTCAAGTTAAATAAAAATCTGACCTGATTTAAATTTTCATTTGACCTGATTTGATCCAACCTGACCTGACCTAATCTAACCTTATTTGATCAAATTATTTAAATTATTTAATAAATAATATATTATATTTGATTCAATTTAAAACTCTAATTTATTTTGTTATTTTTCTTTTGCTTTTTCTGTAAAAAAAATT